TCCTCATGCTTTGGTTTTTGAGAATTCTCAAAAACCAGCTCGTATGCTTTTTAGTCGACTCAAAAGGTCCTCATGCTTTGGTTTTTGAGAATTCTCAAAAACCAGCTCGTATGCTTTTTAGTCGACTCAAAAGGTCCTCATGCTTTGGTTTTTGAGAATTCTCAAAAACCAGCTCGTATGCTTTTTAGTCGACTCAAAAGGTCCTCATGCTTTGGTTTTTGAGAATTCTCAAAAACCAGCTCGTATGCTTTTTAGTCGACTCAAAAGGTCCTCATGCTTTGGTTTTTGAGAATTCTCAAAAACCAGCTCGTATGCTTTTGAGTCGACTCAAAAGGTCCTCATGCTTTGGTTTTTGAGAATTCTCAAAAACCAGCTCGTATGCTTTTGAGTCGACTCAAAAGGTCCTCATGCTTTGGTTTTTGAGAATTCTCAAAAACCAGCTCGTATGCTTTTGAGTCGACTCAAAAGGTCCTCATGCTTTGGTTTTTGAGAATTCTCAAAAACCAGCTCGTATGCTTTTGAGTCGACTCAAAAGGTCCTCATGCTTTGGTTTTTGAGAATTCTCAAAAACCAGCTCGTATGCTTTTGAGTCGACTCAAAAGGTCCTCATGCTTTGGTTTTTGAGAATTCTCAAAAACCAGCTCGTATGCTTTTGAGTCGACTCAAAAGGTCCTCATGCTTTGGTTTTTGAGAATTCTCAAAAACCAGCTCGTATGCTTTTTAGTCGACTCAAAAGGTCCTCATGCTTTGGTTTTTGAGAATTCTCAAAAACCAGCTCGTATGCTTTTGAGTCGACTCAAAAGGTCCTCATGCTTTGGTTTTTGAGAATTCTCAAAAACCAGCTCGTATGCTTTTGAGTCGACTCAAAAGGTCCTCATGCTTTGGTTTTTGAGAATTCTCAAAAACCAGCTCGTATGCTTTTGAGTCGACTCAAAAGGTCCTCATGCTTTGGTTTTTGAGAATTCTCAAAAACCAGCTCGTATGCTTTTGAGTCGACTCAAAAGGTCCTCATGCTTTGGTTTTTGAGAATTCTCAAAAACCAGCTCGTATGCTTTTGAGTCGACTCAAAAGGTCCTCATGCTTTGGTTTTTGAGAATTCTCAAAAACCAGCTCGTATGCTTTTGAGTCGACTCAAAAGGTCCTCATGCTTTGGTTTTTGAGAATTCTCAAAAACCAGCTCGTATGCTTTTGAGTCGACTCAAAAGGTCCTCATGCTTTGGTTTTTGAGAATTCTCAAAAACCAGCTCGTATGCTTTTGAGTCGACTCAAAAGGTCCTCATGCTTTGGTTTTTGAGAATTCTCAAAAACCAGCTCGTATGCTTTTTAGTCGACTCAAAAGGTCCTCATGCTTTGGTTTTTGAGAATTCTCAAAAACCAGCTCGTATGCTTTTGAGTCGACTCAAAAGGTCCTCATGCTTTGGTTTTTGAGAATTCTCAAAAACCAGCTCGTATGCTTTTGAGTCGACTCAAAAGGTCCTCATGCTTTGGTTTTTGAGAATTCTCAAAAACCAGCTCGTATGCTTTTGAGTCGACTCAAAAGGTCCTCATGCTTTGGTTTTTGAGAATTCTCAAAAACCAGCTCGTATGCTTTTGAGTCGACTCAAAAGGTCCTCATGCTTTGGTTTTTGAGAATTCTCAAAAACCAGCTCGTATGCTTTTGAGTCGACTCAAAAGGTCCTCATGCTTTGGTTTTTGAGAATTCTCAAAAACCAGCTCGTATGCTTTTGAGTCGACTCAAAAGGTCCTCATGCTTTGGTTTTTGAGAATTCTCAAAAACCAGCTCGTATGCTTTTTAGTCGACTCAAAAGGTCCTCATGCTTTGGTTTTTGAGAATTCTCAAAAACCAGCTCGTATGCTTTTGAGTCGACTCAAAAGGTCCTCATGCTTTGGTTTTTGAGAATTCTCAAAAACCAGCTCGTATGCTTTTGAGTCGACTCAAAAGGTCCTCATGCTTTGGTTTTTGAGAATTCTCAAAAACCAGCTCGTATGCTTTTGAGTCGACTCAAAAGGTCCTCATGCTTTGGTTTTTGAGAATTCTCAAAAACCAGCTCGTATGCTTTTGAGTCGACTCAAAAGGTCCTCATGCTTTGGTTTTTGAGAATTCTCAAAAACCAGCTCGTATGCTTTTGAGTCGACTCAAAAGGTCCTCATGCTTTGGTTTTTGAGAATTCTCAAAAACCAGCTCGTATGCTTTTGAGTCGACTCAAAAGGTCCTCATGCTTTGGTTTTTGAGAATTCTCAAAAACCAGCTCGTATGCTTTTGAGTCGACTCAAAAGGTCCTCATGCTTTGGTTTTTGAGAATTCTCAAAAACCAGCTCGTATGCTTTTGAGTCGACTCAAAAGGTCCTCATGCTTTGGTTTTTGAGAATTCTCAAAAACCAGCTCGTATGCTTTTGAGTCGACTCAAAAGGTCCTCATGCTTTGGTTTTTGAGAATTCTCAAAAACCAGCTCGTATGCTTTTGAGTCGACTCAAAAGGTCCTCATGCTTTGGTTTTTGAGAATTCTCAAAAACCAGCTCGTATGCTTTTGAGTCGACTCAAAAGGTCCTCATGCTTTGGTTTTTGAGAATTCTCAAAAACCAGCTCGTATTCTTTTGAGTCGACTCAAAAGGTCCTCATGCTTTGGTTTTTGAGAATTCTCAAAAACCAGCTCGTATGCTTTTGAGTCGACTCAAAAGGTCCTCATGCTTTGGTTTTTGAGAATTCTCAAAAACCAGCTCGTATGCTTTTGAGTCGACTCAAAAGGTCCTCATGCTTTGGTTTTTGAGAATTCTCAAAAACCAGCTCGTATGCTTTTGAGTCGACTCAAAAGGTCCTCATGCTTTGGTTTTTGAGAATTCTCAAAAACCAGCTCGTATGCTTTTGAGTCGACTCAAAAGGTCCTCATGCTTTGGTTTTTGAGAATTCTCAAAAACCAGCTCGTATGCTTTTGAGTCGACTCAAAAGGTCCTCATGCTTTGGTTTTTGAGAATTCTCAAAAACCAGCTCGTATGCTTTTGAGTCGACTCAAAAGGTCCTCATGCTTTGGTTTTTGAGAATTCTCAAAAACCAGCTCGTATGCTTTTGAGTCGACTCAAAAGGTCCTCATGCTTCGGTTTTTGAGAATTCTCAAAAACCAGCTCGTATGCTTTTGAGTCGACTCAAAAGGTCCTCACGCTTTGGTTTTTGAGAATTCTCAAAAACCAGCTCGTATGCTTTTGAGTCGACTCAAAAGGTCCTCATGCTTTGGTTTTTGAGAATTCTCAAAAACCAGCTCGTATGCTTTTGAGTCGACTCAAAAGGTCCTCATGCTTTGGTTTTTGAGAATTCTCAAAAACCAGCTCGTATGCTTTTGAGTCGACTCAAAAGGTCCTCATGCTTTGGTTTTTGAGAATTCTCAAAAACCAGCTCGTATGCTTTTGAGTCGACTCAAAAGGTCCTCATGCTTTGGTTTTTGAGAATTCTCAAAAACCAGCTCGTATGCTTTTGAGTCGACTCAAAAGGTCCTCATGCTTTGGTTTTTGAGAATTCTCAAAAACCAGCTCGTATGCTTTTGAGTCGACTCAAAAGGTCCTCATGCTTGGTTTTTGAGAATTCTCAAAAACCAGCTCGTATGCTTTTGAGTCGACTCAAAAGGTCCTCATGCTTTGGTTTTTGAGAATTCTCAAAAACCAGCTCGTATGCTTTTGAGTCGACTCAAAAGGTCCTCATGCTTTGGTTTTTGAGAATTCTCAAAAACCAGCTCGTATGCTTTTGAGTCGACTCAAAAGGTCCTCATGCTTTGGTTTTTGAGAATTCTCAAAAACCAGCTCGTATGCTTTTGAGTCGACTCAAAAGGTCCTCATGCTTTGGTTTTTGAGAATTCTCAAAAACCAGCTCGTATGCTTTTGAGTCGACTCAAAAGGTCCTCATGCTTTGGTTTTTGAGAATTCTCAAAAACCAGCTCGTATGCTTTTGAGTCGACTCAAAAGGTCCTCATGCTTTGGTTTTTGAGAATTCTCAAAAACCAGCTCGTATGCTTTTGAGTCGACTCAAAAGGTCCTCATGCTTTGGTTTTTGAGAATTCTCAAAAACCAGCTCGTATGCTTTTGAGTCGACTCAAAACGTCCTCATGCTTTGGTTTTTGAGAATTCTCAAAAACCAGCTCGTATGCTTTTGAGTCGACTCAAAAGGTCCTCATGCTTTGGTTTTTGAGAATTCTCAAAAACCAGCTCGTATGCTTTTGAGTCGACTCAAAAGGTCCTCATGCTTTGGTTTTTGAGAATTCTCAAAAACCAGCTCGTATGCTTTTGAGTCGACTCAAAAGGTCCTCATGCTTTGGTTTTTGAGAATTCTCAAAAACCAGCTCGTATGCTTTTGAGTCGACTCAAAAGGTCCTCATGCTTTGGTTTTTGAGAATTCTCAAAAACCAGCTCGTATGCTTTTGAGTCGACTCAAAAGGTCCTCATGCTTTGGTTTTTGAGAATTCTCAAAAACCAGCTCGTATGCTTTTGAGTCGACTCAAAAGGTCCTCATGCTTTGGTTTTTGAGAATTCTCAAAAACCAGCTCGTATGCTTTTGAGTCGACTCAAAAGGTCCTCATGCTTTGGTTTTTGAGAATTCTCAAAAACCAGCTCGTATGCTTTTGAGTCGACTCAAAAGGTCCTCATGCTTTGGTTTTTGAGAATTCTCAAAAACCAGCTCGTATGCTTTTGAGTCGACTCAAAAGGTCCTCATGCTTTGGTTTTTGAGAATTCTCAAAAACCAGCTCGTATGCTTTTGAGTCGACTCAAAAGGTCCTCATGCTTTGGTTTTTGAGAATTCTCAAAAACCAGCTCGTATGCTTTTGAGTCGACTCAAAAGGTCCTCATGCTTTGGTTTTTGAGAATTCTCAAAAACCAGCTCGTATGCTTTTGAGTCGACTCAAAAGGTCCTCATGCTTTGGTTTTTGAGAATTCTCAAAAACCAGCTCGTATGCTTTTGAGTCGACTCAAAAGGTCCTCATGCTTTGGTTTTTGAGAATTCTCAAAAACCAGCTCGTATGCTTTTGAGTCGACTCAAAAGGTCCTCATGCCCCACAGATGGGCTTTTTTGAGAATTCTAAAAAAAAACCTGCAGCATCACCTGCCTCCTCCTCTTCCTCCCCTCCTGCCCTCTTCCCCTCGTCCCCTCTTCCCCTTCTTCCCCTGCTTCCCTGTCCTCCCCTCCTTCCCTCCTCCTCTCCTAATCCTCCTGCGCTTCATCCTCCTCATCTTTCCCCCCCGTCCTCCTCCCGCCACCAGCTTTTGAGGCGCCTCAAAAATCCTCCTGCGCTTCATCCTCCTCATCTTTCCCCCCCGTCCTCCTCCCCCCACCAGCTTGGTGGAGCACCCGTCGTGCCACGAGGCAGACAGGGACTGCCAGAACGAGCAGCAGCAGCTGAGAGCGGCGGAGGCGGCACACATGCAGCAGTTTCTCACACCCGACAAGTGGGCCTGCATCACGCGCCTCCTCCTCTTCCTCCGCACCCGCAAGTCCGGCATCAAGCTGCCCAACCCCTCCAACAACAACCCCGATCCGTTGCTCTCTCTCCTGCAGTCCTTGGCTGGTCGGGCTGGTCAGGGTGGTCATGGCTTAGTGAAGGAAGAGGGTGTGCGAGGGTCGAAAAAAACACACGGTGCTGGGGATCTTGGGGATGGGTTGGAGGGGATTGAGAGCGGTGCTTTGTCTTCTCTGAAGCCGCTTTCTGTCTTTTTGGCAACAGACAATGAGAACCTGCGGCCGCAGTTTGTGGATAAGATTGGGCCGGTGGCTGGGGATGTCTTTTTCTCCACTGGCGCTGTCACTCACACGTCAAAAAGCGGCGCTGCTGCTGCAGCTGCTGCCAGTGCTGCAGCAGGAGGAGCAGGAGGAGCAGGGGGCTTGGAAGGTAGATCGGAAGGGGAAGGAGGGGCAGAAGGTTTGGAGGGAGATGACAGACAGAAGGCAGTGCCCGAGGAGCATTTTCTACGGCAGCCGTCCCCAACCATGGCTGAGTTTTTCCTGCTGAGCCGAGCCCGTGTGCTTGTGAGCTTCAATAAGTATGTCAGCACATTTGCCATGTTTGCTTCCATGCTTGGGAATGGGACGTTGCTTGCGCTGCAGACAAGACCCCCGACGACTAGTCCTGTAGGTGGGTGCCATTTTCAAGTGGAGCATCTGGGTGGGGAAGGAGGTGGGAAGACTGCAACATCTGGACGATGATAGCTGGACATTTCATTGTTCGTGTATAAACAAAATGCACCTACTCAACAGTGCATCAGCTTTATAGGAGGCACAAATATTATCCAGATTAGTATTGCTACCCTCCCAATCTTCATTTTTCCAGTAATGTGGTGTTCATAAATAGTAGTAACTCTAACATTAAATCGCGTACCACAATATCCAGGTTCAGTAGTACCCTGTCACAGGCAGACCATAGAGGCGCGCATCGCATTCAAAATCTTCAGCGCTTCGGAAAGTGACACGCGCAAACATGGCGACCCGTGACTCAATCGAGAATTGCGCAAGACCGCTCCGCTGTTGGTTTCCGTGCACACAGATTGATTGGGGTGTGGCTTTCTTTTCGCCTCGCCTCGACTCCCCCCGTCCCCAACTCCCCGCCTCCCTCTCACCTTTATTCTCTCCACGCATGGCATCGTCGCTCGAAACCACCTCTTATCAGCTCTCCTCACCTCACCCCCTTAGTCAACCTCGATAGTATCTCGGCGCATAAAAGCAAGGTAACACAGGCCGCGATCCGGTTCCAGTATTTGTTCCTGGAACCTCGATCTATAGTCGTCAGGTTTCTCTGGCTCACGTTGTTCCATTCAGATTGTTTAGAACGTTCCTAAGAAATTTTATTCAACAGATCATCAACCATGCGTCGCCACACACTCCCCCGCGTGTTGCTTCTCGCTCTCTGCCTCTCCTCCTTCACCGCCGCGATCTCCGCGCAATGGATCAAAGGCTTCGTCGCATCCTACTACGCACTCCAGAACCGCCCCAACGGCGCGTGCGGGTACCCACAATTACACCACAACACGGCATCGATGTCCACTGTAGGCTACGCTAACGGTAGCAACTGCGGCGCGTGTTTCCAGATGCGGTGCACCGGCCACCCGTCGTGCAAGCCGGGAATTATGACGGTGCCCGTTACCGTCACGAATATCTGCCCGCCGAATGCGCCCGGCGGGTACTGCGCGGGAAATAAGCGGAGTATAACGCTGCCCAATCCTGTGTGGAATCAGATGTCGAAGGATCCCTCGGCCGGCGTGGTTCCCGTGGAGATTAAACGTGTCAGGTGCCGGCGCGTGGGCGGTGTCGCGTTCAACATCACCGGGAAGGAGTACTATGTCACAGGTGAGAGGATTGTTCAACAATAACTTGTGACTTTTGAGTCGACTCAATAGATTGTTCAACAATAACTTCTTGTTTCAGACACCGCATGACGGCTAGTCGTCGTAGGGACTGCGCACAGTCACCGATTCGGATTTCCGAAAACGTCTTTGATTATCCCACGCCTTCGTACCCATCACATCCAAAAATGCAGCACCCATTTAACGCATTTGTATTTCATCGAAAACACTACAGCATCGATCTTACATTTCCGTCTCTTCCTCGCTCTTCTCTTGCAGCCATGCCTCTCAACGTGGCCGGAGATGGCGCCATGAAGCGCGTCGACATCTCGATCGCGCGCGGCCCGTGGATGACGATGCGCAAGAGCTACGGCGCGGTCTGGGACATGCCCGGCCTGCCTGTGGTCGGCATGTCGCTCTCCTTCCGCCTCTGGCCTGTCTCCGGGACTCTCCCGCTCGAGGCGTGGGACGCTGTCCCCGCGAATTGGGTTAGCAATAAGATTTATCGCACGGCGGTCAATTTCCCGTGAGACAGACGAACGCTTGGTTTGAGCGAAGACACACTCTCGACGGCACATTTTTCGAGATTTTTACTTGCTGGCGCGATGACTTGCCATGTCGTTTAGGGAAAATAAGCATGTGAGACGGGGTTTCAGATAGGGGCGATGGGTTAGGTGTCATCTTGAGGTGGAGAATGCACGTGGTGCGACTCGTGCACGTGATGTAAGGTCTCATTTGTAATGTCAGAATGCAAAAATCAGGAACCCTCTGCGGTGATCTTTTAGCTTTGCCACTTCCGCTGGTCACTCAAATCAAGCTGCTGCTCTGAGTGACCCACCCATCATGAGCATGACACCTGATGAAGAACCAGGACAATTTCATAGGCGAGTGCGCTCCACTATCAGCGCAAACGTGAGTGATGATTCTGACACTCGGGAGTAGCGCGGAAATAGTGGAAGTTGTGCTGGGAAAGGTGAGGCGGTGGTTTGGAGTTGAATTAGTGGGCATGCTATGGTAGTATAAAGGAATGTAGGGATGTCTAGGTTGTTTTGACGATTTTTGGAAGTGTATACATTGTAGCAACAAAACAGTTCGTCAGAAGTGCAAACGAGAGTACCGCACCACATCTCAGCAAACAGCGGACCTGCCAGCCGAGTTCTCCGCGAAGGGTGGTAGGGCGTGTCTTGCCCAAGTGTCGGATCAACCTGCCAGCCGCAATGACAGCAATGTAACCATGAAGATTGAACGAGATTCGCGAACGTTAGTGTGAGTGATAATCTCCCGCACCTTCACCAGAATATTACTTGAGCTGACATATTCGAGATTCTTCGCCGACCTCGCCGACAAACACCGTCCCCTGAGAGAGCGCCGCGCTGTTTCGCAGCCACCTGTCGCAGAGCAAACGGGCTGAACCCCCTCCCTCGCCGCCACCTGGGCCGCCACAGACTGAATAAACACAAAGCACGTCTGGTTTGATTTTGAACATGCTCCAATCGAACCAGTCCACGCCCCTTTTCCCTTCCATTCGCATTTCAACTCGTCATCAAACCAACAAGGTTGGGTTTTTAGTTTTCCCGGAAGGCTTACTGTAGCTTCCTTTCTTTCAAGGTAATTTTATCTCCACTTGCACACACTTTCCGCTGATCCCCTTCTGAGGCGGAAGAGTTATTGTGCTAACACAGAACTCGGCTTCTCCGCACGTCACGCAAGCACTGTTATCGGATTTCTTCTGCCAGCAAGCACAAAACTAAACCCCTCTCGGATGGGAAGTTTTCAAGGGCATCAACCCTGAATACCACGCGACAAGGTGTTTAGGGTTGATGCCATACATTAGCATGCCAGCCAAGAGGGATTTAGGTTTGGCATCAACCCTAAACACTCAGCCGCAAGGTGTTTAGGGTTGATGCCCCTTTAACACTTGCCAGCCGAGAGGGAATTAGTTTAGTGCGGATAGAAAGGCAAAGTAGTGCTGTGCACCGAGATGATGACACGTGGGTAAATTTGGAATCGAGTTTTGTCTTAGCGCGATAAGTCTTCTGTCTGGGCCGCTAAACCTGGGAAACTGTGTGCAGGTAGAAAAGAAGTTCCTTATAAAGCGCAGGTTCGGAAGTACCTCTTCCGCCGTAACTAAAAACCCAACAAGGTTTCTTGGCACACACACATCCCCCCAACATTCATCTTCCCCTCCCACATTCTACAACTCGGGGTCGTACCCTGACCTTTCGAAATGCAGAAATCCCGTGAGACGGTGCGTTACATGTATCGCACGGCTAGGGTTAGAGGGTGATAATCACCTCTCTTCGCGGAAAAAGAGCAATCGCGATGTCCTGTTCACGGTTCTTTCGATAAGTTCCTACGGGAAGTTATGTTTCGTCGCGATACTTACGCACGTGGCATCGCAGGCCCGCGTAATTCCACGGGCAATGGCGGCGCTGCCCGTCCTCGTGGCGCTTCTCTCTCTTGTCTCTCTGTCGCAATCAGGTACGCGTCTCCACGCACCCCCGCCGAAATCGCCGTCGTAAGCCCGTTGCCACGAGGGTTCACAGATTCGTAAGCCCGTTGCCACGAGGGTTCACGAGGGTTCCCCATTGCATTCTCCTATTTCCGAGTGCCTCGCGATGCCCCCGGGTTGTCTTTGAGAATTCTCAACCCTCCTCGGGATCATCAGCTGAGAAAAAAAACTCCTTCTCCTCCTGTGCTGCTACGTGTTCCCCGCCGCACGTGCCGCCGCTTTTCCCGCTCCGCGCAGCGCCGTGCCTCCTCCCCCAAGTGACGATCAACGTAACTCGCGAGTCCCACCTCTACCTTCGAAAGAACTACCCCGCCAATCAGGTGAGCCTCTCGGGAGCCTCCTCTCTCCACCGGCACGAATACCTCTTCACCCCATTCGCACCCTTCTCTTCGCTTCCCCCTTCCATTCCCTTTGAATCGAATTTCGTCGACGCCTCTCAGCGCCTTTCCTCCGCCGCGCATTTCTGCGTCTTTCTCCCGTCTTCCATGTCTTCCCCGCCACCAGCACGTGACGATGGGCAAGCATACAGCACGGAAACATCTTGAACCGCTCCTCCCTGGTTCCCCTTTTCCTGTCCCCGCCAGTACGTGACGATGGTGCTGCAGGCGAGCATACAGCTGACAGATACGTTTGTGATGGATGCAAAATTCAGCTGCACTGTCTTCCGCTCCGACAAGGACAGAGCCTTCGACCTCATCTCACCCTCTGTAAAGTGCGTCCCCACCGCTCTCGACCATTCTCCACCCCTTTTTAAGCCTCCGACCCAGCTTTGAGTGTTCAGCTGCACTGTCTTCCGCTCAGACAAGGACCGCGCCTTTGACCTCATCTCGCCCTCCGTCAAGTATGGCTCGCCTCTCTCCACCGCTCTCCACCCATCTCCAACTCTTTCCACCGCTCTCCAACGCACTTCTCCAACATCCTCTCCGCTCTCTCATACCCATGTGACGTGTTTGCTTCCCTTCGTTCGTCCCGTCTGAATGAGTTCCCCATTTCCCTCGATCCCATTCCCTCGATCCCATTCCCTCGATCCCATTCCCTCGATCCCATTCCCTCGATCCCATTCCCTCGATCCCATTCCCTCGATCACATTCCCTCGATCCCATTCCCTTGATCCCATTCCCTTGATCCCATTCCCTCGATCCCATTCCCTCGATCCCATTCCCTCGATCCCATTCCCTCGATCCCATTCCCTCGATCCCATTCCCTCGATCCCATTCCCTCGATCCCATTCCCTCGATCCCATTCCCTCGATCCCATTCCCTCGATCCCATTCCCTCGATCCCATTCCCTCGATCCCATTCCCTCGATCCCATTCCCTCGATCCCATTCCCTCGATCCCATTCCCTCGATCCCATTCCCTCGGCCTCTCCACCCTCCCACAGCAGCATGGTAACAAAGATCGTCAACACCAACAACGTGTTGGTCATCGGGGTGAATTTTAAGATGCCCGTTTCGACTGTCGGGCAGCGGGACTGCAACTATATTGAGACACGCTTTATTGACTTCATTGGCAAATACGCTTGCCCTGCTCTGTGGCTGTACCGAGTGTGGGGTGTACAAGTGGTGCAGGTGCGCTCAGTCCCTCTCACACCCATCCTACCACCCTTCATTGCATCCGCTCTGCTCTGTACTGTAACAACTGAAGCCAAAAAGGAGTAGCTGCTAATGTCCCTCCTCCTCCTCCTCCTCCTCCTCCTCCTCCTCCTCCTCCTCCTCCTCCTCCTCCTCCTCCTCCTCCTCCCCCTCCTCCTTCTCCTCCCCCTCCTCCTCCTCTCTCCTCTCTCCTCCTCTCTCCTCTTCAGGGCAACGTGTACGGGCGAGTGGAGGTGGCGAGAGCAAATCGCTCGCGGGTCGACTCGATGGACGTGCTCGTGAAGGCAACGAATCAGCCCGGAGCCATTGTGGTGATGCTGTCAGGGGACGGACCCAACCTCATCCGCAGCGAGGTGGTTATTTCCAACAATAACGTTCGGACAGAGGGTGCCATGGGCCAGGGCGCCTCGTGAGTCGCTTTTGATACACCTTCTTTGTGATTTTGCTGCGTGTGTCTCAGTCTATTGGTATAGGCCACTTTCTTTAAGCTTCCACATGCAGCAGTGCATGCAATCACTCTTGGAAATCCTCGCTTCTGAGTCGTCTCAATGTTTAAAAGTTCTCGTTTCTTCACCTCGCTTCTCTCAATCCCTGCTGCCCCCTGTCCTCCCTGCTGCCCTCTGCCTTCCCTACCACCCACCCCACTCACTGCAGTGTGGGAATCATGCTGTACCGAGGCGCAGTGGGAGTGAACGTGGCAGGCAACCGGCTGTCGCACCTCACCCTCGCAAGCCTTCATCCCCCCCTCTCCCCTGCTTCCCGTTTCGATCGCAGTGTGGGAATCATGCTGTACCGGGGAGCAGTGGGAGTGAACGTGGTGGGAAACCGTCTATCACACTTCACCCTTGCAAGCCTGCAACTGGGATGGGGGCAGACGAACGTGGGCGATGCAATGCTGACCCTCGTTGCCCACAACGACATTATTCATAGCTTTGGGCAGCTGGGGGATTGTTCGGGTATTTACCTCGGCACGCACTGGGTGAACCCTGGAAATATCCTCCGGTGCAACTACGTTCAAGGCGGTGGGCACTGCCTGTATTTCGACTGGGTGTCGTCGGGAGTGATCGTGGATGGACTAGTGTGCGTGCAAACTGCAGATGGGCTGAAGCTAAACACTGGGAAGAAGTGAGTACAAGGGCACGCCCTTCAACTTGTAGAATTCTCCTGAATTCTCCTCTAAAGCCTTCAACTTGTAGAATTCTCCTGAATTCTCCTCTAAAGCCTTCAACTTGTAGAATTCTCCTGAATTCTCCTCTAAAGCCTTCAACTTGTAGAATTCAGGAGAATTCTCCTCTAAGGCCTTCAACTTGTAGAAGTCTCCTGAATTCTCCTCTAAGGCCTTCAACTTGTAGAATTCTCCGGAATACTCCTCTTGTAGTGATTGTTGATGGGCATGTGTGTGAGAAAGCTGCGGATGGACTGCTT